TTAGAATCACAGGATTTCAAAAATGATACATGATTTATAGTCCAACCACATCTTCACTCTCAAAACATTTGCAGATGTGTCACTGAATTTTTCTTGGCATTATATCCTGAAAGCATTACCTAGATAAATTGGTAAGAAACCATCAATTTGATTTCTTATTTGTTGAAATTGTATGTAAATAATTCTGTAGTTTTCTGACCTGCATAGGAACTTTTGGTTTTGTGTGATCACAAAAACATCTCCTTGTTATTATCAGTAGTTTTAAATGACCTTCCATTCAATAATCCTTACCTCCTGTCGTAGCCTGGTCCATAAGGATACTGTTGTCTGGGCCCTATTGGCATCGAGCCCATTGCCCCAGGTGGTCCTCTGTTGAATGGAGGCTGCTGCTGTTGCTGTTGTGGTGGTTGCTGCTGCTGGTCACCCACCCCGCTGTTAGGGCCCTGGTTAGCAGGTAAAAACTGCTCCCCAACTGCAAATGCATTGACAATTAAAGCCAATTTCAGAGGGATTAATTTATTGGGTAATTAAGGAGGCATTTTAGCTTTTAGGACATCATGATCTATTCAGCTGTAGTCTGTTCAGTGTGCCCACCTTTCCGCATGTTACCAAAGGGGTCCTTGTTGGGTTCGTAGGTTCCCATGCGCCCCTGTATGTCTGGAGTGTTCATGCCAGACTGATAGGCCGAGTTAGGCGTCATGTTCTTCCTCGGGAAAGCGGGGTCATTTCCTTCAGAGAAGGGGTCCTGCAGGTTAACGCTGCTCCTAGAGGGGAAGCAAGGTTAAGTGGGAGGGGAAATAGGAGTAAGTGGGAGAGATGGACAGAAAAGCAGAAGGAAATTAGTTTATCTTATAATAATTTCTTTTAGAAGGTCAAATCAGCTGGTAAAATCTTCAACACGAGTCACCTGGACACGGGCGGCATAGGGGGCATCTGGGTGTGAGGGGTGGAGGCCGGGGTGGGAGGTTTTAAGTCTCCCCCCTCGGCCATGGAGCTGCTGGTGGACTGGGGTGTCTGGGGACCCTGCAGAGAGCCTGACCCAGCTGTGGAGCAGAGGGACGCTTCAGTTTGAAATAAAGGAGGAGCAGAAAGACAGGGTTCATGACTTTAATGACACTCAAACACAGTCCGTTATGTATTTTTTTGTTCAAAGATAAGGTTTACTAAATTAGAGCTGCAAAATTGGTATGGGTACGGCTCTCACCTGGAGACGGTGGCTGGACCTTAGCAGCTTGGTTCTTTTTGTTGTCTGCAAAAATCTCAGGAGGAGGGTCCTCACCACGTTCCACTTTGCACTCAAAGGCATACAGACACTGGATGTACTGTTTCTTCAAAGAACTGGCAGCACTGCTTGAAGTACCCACATTTAGGGAAGTGGCCAGATCCCGCCACTTTTTATTCTTACTCACCTGAGACACACAATGAGACGTAATTAGAGAAGATAAAATAAAGAAAATGCCAAGAAATAAACATACGGATTATGGAATTGATTGCCATATGTATTTGCAATGCTAACCTGGGCCATGCCTCCAATCTCTTTCACCGACATATACAGCCGGAAGAGGTCGAGGGGTTTGCGTCCTACAGCGGGCAGGTTGGTCATGCTCATGGCTTTCTCTTCAACAAAGGCCAAGTAACGATCCACCCACATCTTTCTGTCGGGCTCGGGTCCTAACTCGTACAACCGTGTTATCTTTTCGTTGGTTGTGGTGGAGGAATTAGACTTCTGTTTTGTGCAAAAGAAATAAGATCACAATTTTAAAGCAGAGCGGATAACAATAACAGAGGTACCGAAAGACATTTGAGGGGTAATACTTTAAAAATAAAATATAATCAACAGGTTACCTTGGATTTAGGTTCTGGCTTAGGTGTTACACTCCCATCTACTTTGTTATTCATCTTATTGTTCATCTCTGGACTGGGGGCCATACCTAAAGACAATGATGGGGTTTAGAAATTGCAGCAAAATTGCTACATTACAAAAGGAGAACAAGGCTTGGTGCAGTCATCTCTGTACAACTTACCACTTGAGTTATTGGCCATGTTTGGCCCCATTGGATAAGGTGATCCGCCTTGTGTGTTCATCATTCCAGGCATGTTGTTCATGGGAGGGCCATACGGTTGTCCAGACCCCATCATGCCTGGAGACATGTTAGGGTAACCAGGCATCCTGGATGGAGGAGAGAATATGATAATCAGTTTACGCGATAGTGACAGAGTATGGAACAGCCATCTCATATTTAAGCCTGAGAGAAGTCAGACAGAAATATTGTGTGAGGTAAATAAACGTAGGAAATAGAGAGTCCTACATAAACCCACCTGTTGTGCATGGAGTTGGGGGCCGGGTGCTGCATGGCTGCGGGGTCTTGCGGCTTTCTATTCATGCCCGGAGGTGGACACATTCCTGAGCCTACCTGGGGTGGCATGTTTCCCATGTTGGGAGGCATGTTTGGAGGCATATTAGGGCCCATGTTTGGACCCATGTTGGGTCCATAGGGACGTGCCCCCATTTGATTCGGTGGCATCCTTCCTGGAGGCATGCCAGCATATGGTGGACCCCCACTTTGTCCCGCCATGGGGTTCATTGGACCCATGCCCGGCCCGGGGTAGTTGGCGTTGGGCATGTTGCCATAGCCAGGTTGACGGGGATAACCTAGATATGACATTACAAGAAAGAAATATCAGTTAACATAATCACTTGGTTCTAGCAACACACAGAAGTTTATTTGTCTTCAACGTGACATGAAAGTGATTTGTTAAAGCTATGACAGAGTCTTTTCCTACAGAGCTTTTTCCCTACAGTGAGTTAGCACAGAGAGCTATGCACCCTGAGCAACAAGCCGTCGTCACAGTCTCGGCTCTACTGACAGGAGGCTCTGCTACGTCAGCTGACTCTCTGCCTCACAGCTATAAATAGACACAACAGAGTCAGAGGGAGGGACCAGCGGTAGCATGGTATTCCTACTGGGTACGGACATATATTCCATGGATTTGTCCAAACGTAAATGTGGATATTAGAAAACTTTACAAACTTAGATTATTACGTGGAAAACTTTTGTAAATCACTAAAAACATTATGTCTCTAGAAAACAATTCATCTTTTCAGCAGCATAACAGATATTGAAAACAAGTCCCATCTTGACAACGATGATTCAGAAGTGCACACCTTGGGGGCCGTACTGTCCCCCCTGCTGCCCGTAGCCACTCATAGAGTTGTTCTGCTGATATGGGGCCATCCCAGGATGAATCTGTCCCCCTGAGGACTGCCGCGGTGACAGTGCAGAGGCCGACTGGGGGGAGCCATAAGGGGGCATCTGAGGGTTTCTCTGCATAAACCCTGAAAGAGGGGACGTGAGAGGGACGGTGATGCCACAGCAAAGACTACTGACATTTAAATCTCTGTGAGCACTTTGTATTTATATGAGAGTATACCTCTGTCCTGGGTCATAGGAGACTGGCTCATTGCTGGGTGTAGGCTCCCATCTGACTGCACACTTGACGGCCTAGGAGGCATCTGGGTCCCTGAGAAATTATATTTAACTTAAGTTAATGGGAGATGAAAGAGGTTCCAGTTCTGAGTTTTAGGCCAACATGGGTTTCAAGTAAGCAACTTGGTTATTTGGACAGTAGACAAACTCAGATTTCCATGTATGGGCAATCAAAGCTGACACCAGGGCAGTTATCAATAAAGATATATCAGCAAAAAGAGTATCCTAAAACCAACCTGGCAGTTGGCATATTCTGAATAAGACGTTAGCTGGTATTACTCGAATGTCTTTGACAAAAAAAAGTTTGCAATAGTCGCAATCAGTTTTTTAAAGTGGACAAAAACACTTTTCTGTCTAATAAGTGAGCAGACTGCAGTTTCAAACTTTTGCAAGCTTTTTTGAGAAATGTATTCATGGCAAAAAGAAAAGGACATGGAGCACAAATATGGTAGTGGTAGGCATTTGGGTTTTTTGGTAAAAACTAGTTTGAGCTGTCACTATTGGCCCATACTCAAGGCCATTTTAACATCTTTAACCTAGCAACTGGATCAGTCCTTGCACATGTATGTTTTGTGAATGAGGACGGTCCCCTGACAAAAAAGTGACTAAGCAATCCAAAAATATCAGACTTGAGTTTTGAGGGATGGTGTCCTTATGTGTTGCGCTACATCTGTGTTTAAATTTAAGAATTTTGGTCATGTATAACAGTAGAGAACTTTCCTTAAATATACGGATGAAATTCAAGACCTTGATAGAATTCATGAAGCGCTTTTCCCCTTGAAATGCAAACCAAAACCATCACCATCTGAGAAATCTCAGAAGTCCACGACTTATCATATGCCTCCTCTCATTGTGTGAGGGATCGGCCCACCTGGCATGTTGGCGGGTGACAGCGGTCCTGTGCGGGGCGTGCTGGCACCAGCAGGGGAGCCAGCTGGGGAAGGTGAAGGCCCTCGGATGCCTGGCAGGTGGGGAGACGTGTGAGGGGAGAAGGGCGACTGAGCCGGATTGCTCTGCTCGCCCTGGCTGCTCGACACACCTGACGTGCTCACGCCGGGACTCAGGGCGCCCTCTGTACCCGTCGGCAGGTCGTCGATGGACCCTGACAGGTCCTGAAAACACAAAGAGGACAAGCAGAGGTGGAGTCAACAAATGTGGTATAACAGAGAGAGATAAACAACTATTTAAATATTAATTATAGATTCAGAGGATGCAGCTCGTGCATTTTAACACACTGTTTTTAGAGCAATCATAACTATTATTAGTAAGGTTAGGTTTCTTTCATAGATTTGCTGTAATTAGTTTCCTTTTTAAAGATTCAAGTGACACACATACACAGACCCAGAGGCCTTTGTCCTTATTTATCCCTTTCAAAGAAAAAAATGAGTGTACGTTAGTGCAGAGGGTTGTCATGGTAACCAAGGTTTGTAGGATGCGAGCTGAGTCAGCTTGTAGCAGCAGCTTCGCCATGTGATTTAATACACAAACAAACTCTTGCATTCATCTAAGATCTCCTCATTTACACAGCACCTTTCTCCACACGCATCACTCACACAGCTGCCTCACGACAACATGCAGTCGCACACAACGTCTAAAACCATCAGGGGACAGTCAGCGCAGCAGCCGCGATACAAGCAAAATGAATGCTTTCAGAGCATGAACAGCTGGCATTCAACTAGGGAGTTTTTACATGTAACAAGCATCACATATTTTGGATAAGAAGTCAAATGAATATGTCCTCTGTCATGAAAACTACATGACACGGAAAGTAAAAGGCTAACGGGTGAAAAGCAAATACCCGGAGTGAAGGGGGATTTTTATGTTCTAGCACTGATAGCATGCATAACTGACCGGGAGGCTGGAGGGGCGGCCTTGACTGTCCTCTGGGCCAGATTTAGGCTGAGTGGATGGAGGGGCGTTGGACTGAAATGAATCCTGGGATACCTCCTAAAAGACAACAGAACATGTACGTAAGCGTACTGCCTGAGATACAGAGAGGCATGCATGTGAACACGCAGAGAAAGAAAATTATGTAAAATGAATATGATCCAGCTCTGGGGCAGTACCTGCTGTTGTGGAGGAGGAAAACGCTGATAAGGTGACTGTTGTGCTTGCTGCTGTGGGTTCGGATGGTACGCTGCAGGCTGGCCCTGTGGGTGTTGGCTGTGTCCCGGTGGCTGCTGTGGAGGCTGAGACTGTGCCTGCTGTTGCTGCGAGGGAGGCTGCTGAGGCCCCTGTGTGGATCCTGGGTAGCTGGACTGGCCCTGTGATCCAGGGGGAGCCTGGGAACTTGGCTGCTGCTGGGCCTGACTGGGAGGACCCTGCTGCTGGGTGTAGGGAGACTGGCCAGACTGTGGGGCTGAGGCTTGAGCGTACGGTGGCTGAGACTGTGGGGGCCCTTGGGATGGGCCTGGCAGTGGCCCCTGTGGCTGTTGGGGCATGTGGGGCTGCTGATACGGCGGTCCTCCCTGGGTATGAGGAACAGAAGTTGCCGCAGGGTGGGGTTGCCCTGGGTAAGGTGTCTGGCCACCTGGTGTTCCCGGAGGGGGCTGTGAGTAGGGGGTCTGCTGCTGGCTTGGATGAGGAGCCTGGCCGGGCTGGCCATAATAGGGTGCCTGGCCCTGAGAGCCATAGCCTCCTGGTCCCTGCTGTCCGTATGATCCCATCTAAACAGAGAACACAAACACATAAGAATTAAACACTGATGATATAGAATAACACATGAGCCTATTTCTAACTGAGGGAAATTATGTTAAATACCTGTGGACCATATGGCATGCTGCCCATGCCTCCAGGTGAACGTCCTTGCATTCCCACAGGGTATCGCTGGGGACCTGGAGGGCCATAACCCTGGCCTGGGTATCCGGGCCCCTGTTGTGGACCCGTGGGAGGCCCCTGCTGCGACTGCTGGCCGTATGGACTACCTGCTCCGTAAAGTTGGCCTCTCATCTTTCCCATTGGGTCCATGGGACCAGGTGGCTGCATATGGGAAGAACGAGAGGAAATGAATTAAGTTAAAAACCAAACACCACAGGAGAAGTCTAAATATCAAGTGCTACAACTGAGAATATTTGGCTGCTGTGTTTAAAAGAATTAAGCGTGTATGAACCAACTTCAGTGAATGAAGAAACTGTGCCTTTTTTTCCACCTTATTTCCCACGGTCATTACCCTGATTTTTTTCACCTCACTTTGCCATAGTTGCGGAAGTCAACAGAGCTATATATATCTACTTTCAAATGGAGGGCAGTCTGCCCAATCTTAAACATATCCCAGCTGTGCTCCTGTTTTGAGCCTGGTCCAAGTAGCTTTTTCCCCAGAGAAGGCAGTTTGGCTCTGGATGAATGACATCAGAGATGAAGGAAGCACTTTCACAACAGCAGGAGAGTGAAAAATGTACATGAGCATACTTGCTCTATGACCCAACAGTTAGTATAAACACTGCTGAAGAAATGGCTGCTGTGTCTAATTCATCAATGTCTTGAACTTGCTGCTACACTAGAACCTTACATTTAGGATCCAATTATCACCTCCACCAAAACCATCTGACACTAACAAAATATGAATTTTTATGATAATTTCAGCAACAAGAACATCTAGTAGCAAATCCAAAGAGTACCCTCAAGTGAATTTCCACACGTGTACTTTGGGTGAGAGGGTGCTGCTCGGCGTCACAACAGCCCTTTACAAATAGAATGCAAAATTCCTTATGTGACATTTTCCAGATCCAAGATAATGAAGTGAAATAAATAGGAGCAGCACATGGCTAATCTGCATAAGACAGAGAGGAAACTCCCTTGGTGGGTGAGAGATGGTGGACTGCCTTCTGATTGGCTTGGGGGGAGGATTGGGGGGGAATTCTTTGCAGTCACACAGTCAAACTTGTGTGGCATGCCAGGCACTGGAGTGTGTTGCACGCACACACACAAACATCTTTGAGCGCAGAGTACAAATTTGCATTTTAACTCGATGGTACACGTTACAATGTGGAATAAAACAAAGACATCTATCAGTCAATGATTTGTTTATACGGGCCTTATCAAGGATAACAAACAGGCTGTATGAAAATCAATAACAAACCTAAATGGAACAGCAGATGATGTAATAAGACATTATGTTGTAAAGATTTAATGATTGTAGTGATGTTGTTGTATGGGTTTATTTGTATTGCTCAAAGAAAACAAGGCACTACCCATCACATAAAAATGATGCAGGCTGCACCTGTCGTGTGAGCACATCGAGCTATGGATCGGCCACATTTTGATTGGAATATTAAGACAGTGCAGATAACTAGTATTAATATGTTTCTAGGATACTTGTCAAATGATCAAATCACAAAAATACAAGGCCATGCATCATCTTTATCCCAGCTGCAGCATGTTTTATTCAGTGGTTTGAAGTGGAGCTGTGGGGAGAAGGGGAGCAGCCATACCTCTGCTGACCCTGTGATGAGTTAATGCTGCTTGCTCTTATCACCAACTGTTGCCTTGCATCACATGTAATTATAAATGGCCATGAGCAGCGGATGAGGAGCCAATCAGATTTCAGCTAGCATGTCAACCCAAGACCAACTATCTCCTGGCTTTGACAGCAGGATTTTACCTCCACAATTCAAATCCCAGTGCAAACTGAAATCTGCAGGCTGCAGCCTCTCGCTCGTATGGGGCCGAGCAGGCTGCACACAGGCAGCGTGCACAGGGAAGCCCGGCGGCCTCAACACAGAGGGACGTGTTTGATTAAAAAGATCGTGACATTATTTACACTATTACGTCTTTACATTTGAGGTATTTGAAGTGGACCTGCACTGAGCGTTTAAACACACGGCGAAAGGCTGATCCGACACGCAGCAGTCATGCCCACAAAATTACAGCTTATCCGGCGTGAAAACAACACAAATGCGAGCGTGTGGGCCACGATCATAATGTAATATGTAAGAGAACATGGTGTCCCGTGTACACAAGAGTCGTTTGAACACATTTATAAACACGGTGGACTTTAAATCCAACGTGTTAATACGACTGGGTGAAACTGTAGCAGGAAAAAAAACGAGCCGTAGCTGCTCGGCGAGTAATTTCGCCCCTTTTCAAAGTCGGGCCTTGTTGGCTCCTGAACGTCCTTACATCGATTCAACTACTTATATCCGACTCAAGCGGCCATATTGTGCCGCTGTATACATTTAGACGGGTTAACAACAATTATTTTACGGTCTGAAGTAAAGGGGGAAAAACACACACACCAGAGGCAGCCATTTTAGAGTCTTTGCGAACTAGTACCAGACAATGGCTGGCCTGCTACGTTGTGAACGAGCTAGGAGGAGGGAAGGGAGACGTGCTAAAGCTCACACCGTGTTCCTGAAATAATGGGACTTTACCTGGCTTCTAGCTAGCGGCTGCCCGGCACTTCCCGGGCTCATGGGCGACGGGAGATGGCTTCTTTGTTGCCAGCCCGGGTTGCTCCCTCCATACTGACCGCTGCTGCCCATGTCTGCTGGTCCCTTGCTAGCTCCGTCCTGGCTACTGTAGTCGCCGGACGGGTAGTTTGGATATCCCCGCGTCGAGCTGGGGGAGGTCAGGAGCTTGTTGAGTGTCGGCGTGGACGTGGGCTGAGGGTTCCCAATGTTATATCTCTGGTTACTGTAAGATCCAGCCATCGCCGTGGGTCCTCCCGCCGGTGGCTGCTGCTTAGCTGGCTGCCCACCAGCTGTCGGCGCCTGTGTGCTGCGCGGGGAGTTCATGGCGTACGCTTGGCCGGGATAGGGAGTCCTGTTCGGGAATGGGTTGTAGTTATTGAACTGGTGGTTCGAAAAGCCATGATCGTGGGAATTAGGTTGATACGGATCCATCATGTTGCTCGACTGCACGACCGGACCCGCAGCAGCTGCCATGCCAGGGCTTTGTTGTCCGCCATGTTGATGAAAAGGGGTCCGACCGTAGTGCTGACTGTATCCGTACGAAGGTGGAGGGAAAGCGGTTCCGTGGTGATGCACCAAGCCGGGATGGTTGTTTCCCTCCGGTCCGACAGAGTCATTCTGATTATTATTGTTAGCCCTGGGCGGGTTCCCATTCCCGTTCTTCATCTCAGGTTCCCCTCCTCCCCCTGCATTTCCACCCTCGGCCCCGTCCTGCAGCTCCCCCCGGCCCGGCGATCCGCTGTCCAAGCCCGGCTGCTTTTTGTCCGACTGCTTCTCCCCCGGTGCCGACTCCTCCTTAGGGTCCCGATCCGGCTTTTTGAGTTCGGAAGGCGGGCTAGTGTTAAGAGTGGCGACCTGAGCGGCCATGATATACACCCCCCCACCTCTCTCTCCCTCGCTCTCAGTCACAATCACAAGCTCGCATGGAATATAAATAATTGTTTAGAACCATTTATCCTTGTGCCGATTCATTCCCACCCCTCACACCGGACCGAATCCGGCGGCCATCCCCGCGGTTCCGGCTCCGCAAACGGGTCAGAGAGATGATGGAGGCTCCATGCAATGCGTGAGACAGCGGCAGAAATTGTTGTGGGAGTTGTGTTACTGAGCCCGGGCAGAGGCAGCGAGAAAACCCAACCAACACGAGGCTCCGCTACATACAGCCATTTTACCCAGCCGCACGGTCTCCTGCAAAACACGGACTGGATCAGCCCTCTCTCCAAGGAGGAGTGGGATTATCACATTGTCTCCCCCACCCCCACCCCCCTTCACTTGTGTGGAATATTTCCTCCACATGAAGACAGTGTAGTGTTCACACAACTCACTCACGTTGTGTTACAACTATGAAATGTGCTTTAGGATTAAACACACACACACACACACACACACACA